AAGGTTACAGCAGCAGGGTCAAGTGTTGGTCTTACAGCAAGCTCGTGCATGTGGCTGTCGTTGCTGTCTATTTGTCCCCTCATCCTGCTTATTTGCAACAGTGCAAAATATTGAAATTTTGTGGTTTTATTGATTCGTAAGGTAATGAGTGTCGGTCATTAACGAGGCCCAGCCGATTGTTTAGGATTAGTTTGATGTGTTGCATGTATAATCATTTTTTTCAGAGGCTTTTACGATTTCGTTTACTATGCCTTTCATTTTTCTGCGTCTGGATTAATTTTTGTGTTAGCAACATTGTCGAATAGTTTCGGAGTGCCGAAGTGTGAGTTTCGAAGAAACGGTCCAGATTTTGAACTGTCGTTTTCTTGTGCAGTCTTTTTTCTTTTCCAATTTCCGATGAGTATCGGTGCTTTAACCAGTTTTTCTCCGTACTATCATCCTTTAGAAAATGCTAGGAGTTTTTGTGTTTGCGTTTGGCAGATTTTCACATACTTCGAGTTTATCGATCGGTATTCTTGAGGGGTTGCTGCAACTGATATTTCTGATTTTCTTTGTTTAATGGCGGTTACGATTAGGCCATCTTGTGCGGATGTTGCAATATTGAAGTAATGTCATTAAACTCTCAAGAGGGTCAGAGAAATAATGCTGTCTTCCACTCTAGTAAGTCCCATCAAAATTGTGTGCCATTTTCCATCATTCCTCTGCCTGTTTTCTTTGCTACCATCTCAGCCTTAGTGTTGTGCCGATGTGTTGTTTTATTCCATTGCACATTGCAGTCGTTTAAGATTCGATTGGCGATTGATTCCTGACAGTTTCTGTTAGGAAGTAAAAAATAATGAGTACAATAAACCGAGACTGGTTGAATGATTACGCTTATTAGACTTTTCTTCAATTTTAGAATCTCTGAAAATTGGTGTTGAAAGGGTGATCTTCAGCATTGAGTCGGTTGCGTTAAAAAATTAGGACACACTTGCGATGGCATGTTTATATATTCATAATCATTAGGCTTGATCAAGCTAGTTTGTCGTCAGTGTCTCCTTTGTCTGCTGCTTCGTTGCCGCCGGCAAGGCAGTGACGTGAGTTCGCTGAGAACGTTTATAACTGATCCGAGGCAACGGTCGGCAGAAAATTCTTTGTAACTCTACCTTAACCAAATAGTATAGTATAGGTACTTTTAGTATAGTATGGTATAGGTATAGGTAAATAGTATAGTATAGGTAAAATAGTATACCAAACAGTATAGTATAGGTAAATAGTATAGGTACTTTTCGAAGAATCTGTATGCGCCTTCGTGAAGAAAGGCTGATAAATTTGATAAATTCATCTGGAAGAATCAAGGCCACAATATAAGAGCAGACTTCCCCTGCTTACTGTTGTAATCATTGCTACCTAATGCTAAGAAAGTTTGTACAGCAGAGTAGCCCAGATTTTTATCCAGTTGTTAGAAACAGTATTTTTGATTGACTTATTGTTTTAAGTGAAAGTAAAAACGACAAACTACAACTTATCCTTGCAATAGCTTGAGATTGTGTAGGCCACAATTAATGTTTAAAAAGTTAGTTCATTTTATGCTGACCACCAAGACAAAGGAATAACATGTGGTGATTGACATTTTACGTCGAAAGGTTTGTCCGCAGATCATTTTTCCGTCGATAAATTTTTCTC